TTTGACAAAAAAAGTGCATGAAGTAAGTTTTAAAAGCTGATCACAAAGGTGAGCCTGCATTTGGCACTATGGCATCATGTTTAATATACACTCGCCAGTCACTTCATTAGTTACACCTTGCAGGTACTGTGTTGGACCCCTTGCCTTCAGAACTGCGTTCAACACAGACAGATGATTTGAGCTTTGTGACATGAAGCAGTAATCACAAGGTGTGTACACTGTGATCATAAAGGGACAGGCATGGTCAGCAACAATACTCAGGTAGGCTGTGGTGGTTAAATAGTGCTCATTTGGTACTAACGGACCCAAAGTGTGCCAAGAAAATATCCCCCACACCATTACATCACCACCACCATCCTGATCTGTTGATACAAAGCTGGGTGGATCCATGTTTTCATGTTGTTTTTGTGCCAGATTCTGACCCTACCATTCAAATGTGGCAGGAGAAATTGAGACTCGTGGGACCAGGGAAGGTTTTTCAAATTCAATTCAAAGGTTTTTCTGTTTTCAAAATTTTCCTGAACCCGTATGAACTATTTACTCATTTCCCTGTTCTTAGCTGATAGAAGAGCCATCCAGTGTGTTTGTCTGCGGCTTCGAGCTTCATGTGGTGTTTGTTTTCAGAGATGCTCTTCTGCATGGCCACAAGCAGTGTGGTCATTCTCCTCATCAGCAAAGCATTTTCAACCAGACAGCGTTAGCTTACTGGATATTTTCCCTTTTCAGACCATCCTTCTTAAACTCTAGAGATGGTTGTGTGGGAAAATTCCAGTGGATCAGAAGTTTCTGAAATACTCGGACCAGCCCGCCTGGCACCAGAAACCATGACACATTCAAAGTCATTTAAATCACCTTTTTCCTCATTCTGATGTTCGTTTTAAACCTCAGCCATGTCTACATGCCAAAATGCATTGAGATGCTTTTGCCTTGCTTACCCAATAAAGCTGCCATTTACTGTACTAACTATGTAGTAAAGTAAGAAGCTGCAATATTTAGTACATGGATGGCAGCTTTAAGCTCCTCTTGGCTTGGTGCTGTTAGCTGTTAGTGTGGGGTTTTTTTGTGAAAACAGTTTTCTCTTACAGCTAAAGGCAACTCAAGAAGACGTGTGAGACTAAATCAAAGAGGAAAATTGTGGGCAGGGAAATTAGAGAGCTGAATGGGTCAAAACCTGTGCAGAGCGTTCTCATTTACATATTATATAATTTGAGTCATTGTTCATTTTAAAATATTAATCAAAACTGCTTCAAGGCTGGTGCTTGAGTAATATGCGTTTTTTAAGTTTTGCTACAGTGTAAATAGTTCAGTTGGAGATGTTTAAAGGGGCTTACTTTTGTTGGTTTGTTTGTGGGTTTGTTTTGAGTGACACGTGGAGATTCCTGCTATTGGCACTACGACATCAATATTTCAGGCACCGATGACGTAGAAGTACATCCCGTAGCACAGACATGCTTTTCATCTCACTCAGCAGTCCCATACTATGAGCAACATATGGCCTTGTATGAATGGCATACCAGACAGCAAGACATTTCCAGCACGGCCTCCCGTGTAGCTCCTGAACGGGGGCGCAAAATAGACAGATGACCTTTACTTTGTGTTAGGTCTGCACAAGGAATGTTTTCTTTCACTGACTTAGCTGCAGATTAAAACTGCAAATAACTATCACTCTGTTCTTGTGCTTGGTGAGCGCAGGCTACTGTATATTACTGGATGGTGAATTTGGCTATGAAATGAGAGACTTCTGGTGTTAACAGATGGCCGCTTCGGCCTGCCACTCGGATTCCGTGGGGCTCTGCTTTACACATGACCCAGTATTCTCTTGGCCAAAACTTACACTTCTCTTCCTCCTCAGATAACATACATGTCTCCCAGAACAGACTGATGTGACTTAGAAAGGTTTTGAGTTCAAATTAAGTTTACCGAACCATAATATTTGTTTTGATTTTGTCGTTATGTTGTTAATTTTTGCAATATGGTAACAAATCACAAAGTTGAGCTTTTTGGCATCTTAAATCTAACTTTAAAAATCTTTTTTCCCTTGAAAACAAATGTGGGAAAATAGGAAGGATTGAAAATGGCTTTGCTGTGACTCCAAGTATCTGGGAATCAAATGGCAATCTCCCAAACGGGAAATTGGCATGATAACACATACCATTCCTCTGTAGTTATACATGGCAATAGGAAATTTCCATGTTTCAGTGCACTTATGAACTGACTAAGAAGAATTACACACTTCTACGATCATCATGAGTGCTGGTAAAAAACAAACAAACAAAAGAATAGCAGGTATTCGTATCATAAAATATGACACAACCTTTTAGATATAACAAAGACAGCAAGGCTCAAGGGACAGAGCAGAACTGCATCTATGATGTCATCGCCTACTCAGGGACAGCATTCGCCCAAATACTGAGATTAGGATTATTCTCATTTCCTCTGAACATCTGCTGTACACAAACAGAATGAGACCAGCAGGAGTAAAAATCCCTGCACTAACGATGGCAGTTATTTAGATAAGAATGGCTTTTACAGCAGGAGGGCCAAACACTCATAGGATCGTGGTCACCCCTTTCGCAATGTACGAATGAACTCTTATTTTATGGAAATAGCGTAAATAGTCCTCTGTGAATACCGTGGCTCTGTGTTCAGTGAGGGTGAACTGAATAAATGAGCTAATGCTGTTAGTGTGCATCAGAAGCAGAAGCAGCTGTGAAATTATTGTCAGTCATGCAGTATGTTAAGTATGTTCTTATAACCACAGCAGGTGTGAACCAGCTCTGGCTGGCTTTTGCTTAGCCCCAGCAGCACAGGCACACACACACACACAGACACACAAATACAACATAAGCATAAGCTTGCAAACAGGCATAGGCCCCTTCCAACCCCCACCCAGAGCTAAAATCAAGTCAGTCTCATGCACATCTGCTTCACCAGCAGTGGCTGCTGAGTAAGCACTACATTAGCCTCTGCTTCCCTTCATAAATGATCATAACAGGACAGAAAAAGTCCCCTTATATCTCACAAAAAATTAAAAACAAAAAACTACTTGGTGGGAAAAAAAAGAAAGAAAATGACATGCACGGGCATCCATTTCCTGTAAATGGAAGTCAATCATCTTTCTTTATCAAAGGTTTGCTTAAAAAGTTCTGCCAGACTTCAGAATGAACTCTGTAATTTCACATGTTTCTTGAGTGAGCAAGTGATGGGGAATACACCGTCTGCTCAGACCTCACACCCAGCTTTGAAGCTGGCAGCAAAACACAAAGTGATTCATAACTGCAGAATGCAAAAAGCTATTTTTAAATCTCAGGTGAGGCATTCCACAAATAACAGGTGTCAGGAGTGCTGAATGGTAGATGCATGGGAATCTCACTTCTGAACACCAGTTTGTACATTCTACCTGAAGATAAGTGTTTGATAGACACTAGTGTGCGATGGCAATAAAATCAGGTATTTAAAGGTGTGTAACCATTTACATCACTCTTCTTCACTTGTGTAGAGCACTGACGATACGTTGTGGGTCTACGGTGCCGTTTACAGATAAGTTCACTATGATTGTTCTCACTCCATTATCCCCAGGCACCGAACACTAGTTTTCCAATGCACTGCAGCAACCCATTACCTTTGCCTTAGAGTGGGTGTCTTTTCAGACCTAATCATAGCTTTAGCCTGCAGGTATGTGGCTTGCCAGGTTCAGTCATCCTGGAAAACCCATCATTCAACAACTTTTATCGTCACAATTGCGAGGTGTTGCTAGGCACGTCTTTTCATGTGCTATATTGCTGCTCAGAGAGCTGTAAGGTTTTATATCTAACCCACCAAAATATTCTCATTTGTCTTTGTCTCAAAGCTGGAACTAAAAGAGTTTTAATGTAGTATTTAATTCATTAAATGCCATACGGTGACAGTTATTGGACAATGAACGGCTGTATGGATAGGGGGGCAATACAAAGCATTTCCCCCCATCTCTACTTTTTTTGTCTGACTTAGAAAGTTTGGCTTTGGTTCGTGAAACAATTTCTTTGGGAATTTATTACACCATCTTTCTGTCATCTGGAAAAGAACATTTGAATAAATCTCCCTGACAAGGTAGAAACAATACGAGACCTACTGAGCATTCAGGGAGCTGTAATGACACATCAAACGGAGAAAACAAAGAACTGCTTACCAATTCAGAAACTTCCAGACAAAACTCAAGACGTCTAATTATTGTTTTAAGGGATATGAGATAGAGTATATTGTTTGCATGGTATTATGAAATATACTTAATGTACTTTCTTTTCTTTTTTTTTACCAGAAAGTAAACACTTTCTTGTAAACTTTGTGTGTGAATGACTTCTTTTTAATTGGTAGCGTGAGAAAAGCAAAATGACGTGTTAATTTCCCTCTAAATGGTAGCAAGAGTGTTAAAGAGTTCTCAGTTCTTCTTTGTAAATAAACAAATTTCATTAATGGCTTTATAGGATATTGCCCTTTCCCCACCCCCTTCAGGAAATGTGCAAATCTTAATAAACAACAAACAAAAAAAGGTAATTTCACTAGGAATAACAGCTATTGTGCAGCACTGTTATTAAATTTTATCACTCTAGAGGAGTGAAGTTGCAGAGGGGAGCTGTCCGAAGTCTTGTATCTGTGGTGGAGTACATGCTGTGTCATCTTCCTCTTCCTTTAAGCAATATATGAGTGACTGGTGGGTGTGCCTGCACTGTGGTATTGACAGATCTGGCCCTGTCACTTGTCTTGTGTCAAGAAAGCCTGTGGGAGACAGGAAGTCGGGCTTCAGAGTGGACAGAAAACAGACATCTGACCACAGTGGCAACCTTGATCCCAGAAAACACTGAACAACTGCTTGCAACTCTCTCTGGATCTCTCAGAGCCCTGTTTGTTACTGACTCAACCACGTAACCACCTTTGTTTTGAATGTTATTGACTCTCAGTAAAAAGAAAGCAAAAGTCTAAGCAAAGACAAACAAATCGTATTCAAGTAAAAATATACAATATATTTGAACTATAAACTTTTACAGAATGTCTTGGACATTTAGCTTTACACATACTATACATAAGGGTCCAACAAGGGTCACTTTCATATTCTTGTTGATTTAAAAAAAAAAATGTTCCCATGGCAACCACATTTTATGTACATCTTTATAAACATACCAAACAAAACAGCCCTTGGGAGCACTTTAAGAGGCCATGATGAGATACAGACGCCTTGTATAAAAATCCCTGAAAATGTCTCACTGTGAGGTAAGAATACACTGGTCAATCTCATTTCCTTTTATGCCCTTTCATTCATCAAACTCATTCATTTGTTCTGAGATGAGACGGGCGACAAAGCACAGCTAATTACACGTCATCTTTCTCGAAACATTACGTTTTCGTCAGAAGTAGCTGCAGACTGAAGAAGGTTGGATTAAAAAACAAGGTGGACGTGTACTTGTTCATAAACTGAATACTTACATACTTGTTCCTTTCAACTGACTAAAAGGATACTCCTACACGTTATACCTATAATTTCATGTTAAGGTATGGTCAAGGCCTCACCAACAACAGGTTATATGATGTAAAGGTTACAAGAAAAAACCTTGATAGAACAAAGTCCCATGCAAATAATGCAGCTTTGAGCAACAAGACGTACAGGGAGCGTTTTTGAAGGATAACATATTCAAACTTTGATATTTTGCGATAAAAAATATCACAGTTAAAATATATATATACACAGAACAGGCTGCCAGAACTTACGTGTAAAGTCTAATAATGTTTAGCAGAAATTTGTGAAAGTGGAAGAAGAAAATATTTATAATGTATTTAAATACTTATATAAGAAAAACTGGACAGTAATTCAAGGTGGGATTGCCGCAGTAGCCATTTCCCCCCCCCATCAGCTTAGGTAACCCCCCAAAATATCTCATATCGGTTCAAAGAAAACATTCTAATTGGCCAAAGACTTTTTTTTAGACCATCAAGGCAATATTGACGACTGATACAAATACAGGAACATCCATTGTACAGCTGGTGAATAGCAAATAACAGTCAAAGAGCAATGCTAGAGAAATGTCCTGTTATTATGGCTGTACATGACCATTCATTAATACCATGTATGTCACATACCAAAAGTCATCACTGTGTTAGATATTAAGGCATTGAGACTGGATCTAACAGAGTATGTTTTCTGCATATAGGAGTAGTTCCTTTTGGTGCAGAAAAACTGTAACTGACGTACTATAAATATCAGCCATCTGAAAGGCTCAGAAACCTCAGAGTCACCTCAGGAAACCACCAAAAAAAGGCTGTTCTATCACATCTCATGTCGACTCCAGCGTATCTAGCTGAAAGACATTGTGATTGGTTGGTGTGGTGAAAAAGAGCTGCTCCTGGTTGGTAGAACAGTTGTCACAGGGACTGTGCAGCCCCAGAGTTCTCTCAAAGTCCAAGAGCTGACCCATGAAGTTGAAGTTTGGCGAAATGTTAGACTTCTTCCTCTTGACAAAGTCGTAAGCATCATTCAGAGAGAGGTGGAGTCTCTGCATCAGGTAGGCCACAGTGACGGTGACTGAGCGGCTGATGCCGGCCAGGCAGTGGACCAGGATGCCACATTGCTTTGACCTAGCCTCGTCTGTGAGAGAAAAGGTAGACTAAGGTCAGCATAACTCTTTGGTTATTTTAGTTATCAATGCCGTGTCTGCTTTTAACAAAACAAACACAGCATACCTAAAACCCGGTTACTTGCCAAAATTAGCAAGCAACCTCAATCTAAACAACACAACAAAGCTTGGCAACCTGAAATCCAGACAAAGCGTGTAATAGACACGCTGGTCCACTGTATCCAATTCATGCTTTGCCTCTCCAAAAACTGAAATGTAGTTGTCGCAATCTGCAGTAACAGCAGAGGCAGATATTTTATATCAAGCCAACATGAAAATAATCACCAGAAAATGTTTAGACAGACATTAATAACACATTAACATCCATATAGATATTAGCTTAAACGACTCTAAAGATTAAGGGAATGTACTTGATACGTTTTTTGCTCACTAACTAAATATATTATCTCCCCCAACTGGTAATGCAATGTCTACATGCAGTAATGCAACTTCTGCCATTGTCTCAATTTCATGTTTTGGAAAGGCAAAGCGTGAAATTGACACGATGTCTGTTTTACACATTGGCATGATACTGGGTTGAACCCTTTCATCAAACACAGGACAGGGTGGAAACAACTTTTCCTTCCTCATTCTGGTTCATGATGCAGAACCGCAGCCACCAAACAAACAAGCGAAAAGCTGCGGTTTCAGGTGCAGTGACGGGAAGAGACGCAAAAGCAAAATTAAAACAGCGTTGCGATGCTGCTAGAAACAAAACAAAAAAAGGAGGACGTTCTCTTCCAAGGTTGCTATCCTGTATAAATGTGATAATACTGTCTAACACCTGAGAGCATCATCTTTAATCACCCACTAAACTCCCACCTGTCCAACAAGCACATTTGAGAACCAACTGAGCTAACTAATGGATAGCTCAAGCATGCTCATTTGTTATTTTATTATTAATAATAAAAGAAACAAAAGAAATAAAAGTAAATCCCTCATTTGTTTGTGTTTAATCCCACGAACAAAAGCTGCCAAGCCTACTTGAACTTACAACCTACTCTCACATGACACGCCTTGTAGCAAAACAAACTAAACTTTCTGAAAAGTGAGTCTCCGAGTTTTTTTTCCAACAAAACCAATATCTGAGTTACTCACCTATAAATGATATTGCCTCTGGAAAGAACTGGGACAGGTTCTGACTCCAGTGGTCCGAAATGGGGATCTGTTTGTACCTGAAGTGTCCATCATGCTCAAACATGTTGGGGAGATTGGGTGTGACATTCAAGATGTACTTGATGTTGTACTGGCCCAGCACATCTAGGTTAGTGGAGTCTTTGGCACAGCCCAGATAAAGGTAGGGTAGGATTTGGACAGGGAAGGCAGGCTGATTACTCGGAATGGGGCTCTCCTCGGACTCTGTGGCACTGGTAGGCTCGCGATCAGACTCCCCGTCGGAACAATCGGAGCTGATTCTGAGATTTCCGAAGCCCAGAACAGACACTGGTGGTGAGGAGCTGGGACAGGAGCTGTCCAAGAGGGTCTCACAGTGCTCTGGGTACTCCGTGTGGAACTTTACAAACCCACCTGGACAAGAGCCAAAGACACAAACAAGTCACATATACACATTTAAATCTTTTTTTTTTCTTAAAGTGCAACCTTATATAAAAGTTTATTTAAACCACATATCAATGGAAAATCGCTGCAGGGTGTTGAGACTGGCAGTACTGTAAAGACCCCCCAAAGAGGCCATTCATGAAATGCATGCCTGTTCCTGCTAGAGCAAAACATGGCGCAGCCATTTTGGAATTTTAATTGAGAATCTCAGTAGTGACACACAAACTTCTGAACAAGCTTCAAACCGCAAACACACAGCACAGGATGAACATCTGCGCAGGACTAACATTTACGTTTGTATAGCGCAATAAACATTTACAGTTTCGTTTTAAACCCCAGAAGCTAAAAAAGGAAACCTCACAGTTAAAAAAAAAAAACCTCACAGTGTCCCAACTTCTGCTCCACCGAGGGAAAAAAATCATTTCTTTGCCTTTACCTCTTATAATAAAGTTTTGCTGCTGTTGGGCCAAATCTTACTTTACAAATTTACCTTAAAGGAAACGTATGCGCCGTGAGGCATTTTTTATCCTTATGAACTCAATTACAAGTACAGAACATTTGCATACACAGTTCTCTGTTTGTTGTTTGTTTATTTTAACGGCAAAACTATTTACCTTCCAGATAATACGCTGTACAGCCGTCTTCCCACAGTTTCTGAAGAAGCAGACCCAGAACCGACGTCGGAGTCCCGCTGTCCTGCCAGCCCACGGAGCACTCATCGTACAGAAGGACCGTGTCCGTCTTGCACCGTCTCATGAACTTCTCCTTATCCTCGTGGTTGGGAATGATAGCCCGGATAGGTATGTTTCCCTTTCTGAACCTCCGGAGCATCAGCCCCGGAATGGCCAGGTTTATGGCGGTCTCTATATGGGATGATTCATAAAGCTCATGTGAACGGCAGTCCAGCAGGAGGAGAGAAGTGCCCCCGGACTCTAACTCGAGTTGCAGCCATTCCACGCTTTTACTCGGCGTCACATTAGACATATCGGAGTCAATAGCATACTACTCGCAAGTGCAAACACTAACTACATAGTCCACCGATCAACGAAAACAAACAAACAAACAAACAAAAAACAAAATAAAAGAATAGAAAAAAAGCCCTACATATCACCCGGAAAAAAAGACGTTAAATGTTGCCCCGCCAGTTCGTGGTGCTTCTGCTTGAGCGAAGAGATTTCCCCTTTTTCCTCTTCTCTATTTCCATCAGTCAGTGAGTCTGGTCTGCCCCCAACAAAGCAAAGACTCAGTGGAGACCTATTTGCACTTTAATTTACGAGACACACGTTTAAATGTGGACGCTTTGTGGCCAATAGTTTCTTCATCAACTTCAACTGCTCCACATCGTATCCGGGGCATCCATGCGCATTCTCTTCTTACCATTCCGATGCATGCATGGGAGTTTTTTTTTTTTAGTTGACAGTAGAGCAACTCAAGAGGGAGGAGTTTTATCCTTACGATTTAAAGTCATAGCGGAAATATAGCAAAGTTTGTTACGACCAAGTCTCAATGAAACCACTTTTTGTCAATCGCCGTATCATGAGCGAAACATTTCTTTGCGATTTTGTAACATTATAGCGAGTTTTTATTTAGAAGGGAGCTGTTGGCACTCGGTATTATTACATTTTAGTAACACTGGGCGATTTTTATTATTTTCTAAAGTATATTTCCCCCCACCCTTTGAGAACATGTAGGTTAGTATAACAGATATATTTGCGCATTTGTACCTTGAGGTCTAACTTATCCTTTGAGATGCTTAGAACTGAGGTGGAACTGCAGTGGTCCATATAATGCATTATTATTGTAGCATTATCTCTTGGTCACAGCCACGTTCCCCTGACCAGTGTGGAATTTTCTGTGGGACCTTCATGATACCCCTTTGAAACCGAAATCCAATGATATACTGCACTGTAGCTGTCACTATGCAGTACAGTCCAGTTCATTACATAGACTGTAGTGTGTGGTGCAGTATTTAAGATTAAAATCACACCCTTCAGGAGGTAAAAAACAAAAATGAGATTAATTCAGACACTTTTAGCTGGTGATTCATGTAGTTACATAATATTTGTGTCATCATGATGATAATATTCATAATCAGATTGGACACACCCCTGAAGGTGGAAATAGAAAAAAATTCACACCTCTTCCCTTTAAACTAATTTCCTTAAATTTAAATATCATGGGGACTGCTAAGTGCGCTGTCGTGCTTTACTAAAAAGCACAACAGCACGGTCCTCCAAAACATTGCCATAGTACATCACTGGTGTATAATAATGCACTCGGATTGGGAGAAATAAGAGAAGGGAAAGGAGAGAGGGAGAGGGTGATGCGTGCAGTGGGAACCCAGCCATGCAGCTCATCCGTCTGCACACGTGAGTGGGGGGACACACAGATGTGCAGGGCATCGGGATTAACACAGTATGAGAAATGGAGCTAAATACACTCACATTCACACACAAACGCTCGCAGCCACAAACTGATCAGACACTCCGCAGCACGTATCGTATCACTGCCATTCTACACCTTACTGCCGTTTCAGCACCTGCAGCCAGCAGCAAACTTCCTCATCATTTCAAGGGGTCTGAAAACCAACGCGCGCGCGCGCGC